CTCTGTCTCTGTGTCTCTGTGTCTGTGTGTCTGTGTGTCTGTGTGTCTGTGTGTCTGTGTGTCTGTGTGTCTGTGTGTCTGTGTGTCTGTGTGTCTGTGTGCGTGTGTGCGTGTGTGCATGTGTGCGTGTGTGCGTGTCTGTGCGTGTGTGTATAAATATAAATATATAAATATATAAATATATAAATATATAAATATAAATATAAATATATATATATATATATATGTGAGTGTGTGTCTGTCTCTCTGTGTCTGTGTATGCCTGCGTGTGTGCGTGTGTGTATACATATAAATATATAAATCTATAAATATAAAAATATAGACATATATAAATATATAAATATATAAATATGTAAATATGTAAATATATAAATATGTAAATATATAAATATGTAAATATATAGATATAAATATATATGTATATATATATATATATATGAGTGTGTGTGTGTGTGTGTCTGTCTCTCTGTGTCTGTGTATGCCTGCGTGTGTGTGCGTGTGTGTGTGTGTGGGTGGGGGTCTGTCCCTCTGTCCGCCTGTCGGCCCGCATGTATCTATTGTTACCGTTGTATACATGAAGGCCACTAATATCCCAGTGTGGTACACAGCATGGGATGCGAACGATAGGCCCAAAAAGAGTTTATGTAGATGAGTGCGAGGCACGTCTGCCGAAATCCCGTTCTGGCACAGGTGCAAAGCATCCGTGCGGCCGCGTCACCGGAAAGCCAGATCTGTCTCAAATTCCACTGCAGTGGTCACCTTTTCTTCTCCAAATCTCTGAATCCACGTACTTGGGGAAAGCATGTTGGCCGTCCTTTGCCGTCCTCCTGAATCCAGCCAGTGTATGACCCAAGCATCAGCGCAGCATCAATCCTGCCACCGCGTTGTTGTCGTGCTCCTGAATCCCACCAGTATACCTCCGTGCTCGTGAATACCGGCCGGGAAGGCCTTGCAGTCGCTTGAGAATTTGCCTGTAGATGGGGGAAAGCACTTTGGCCGTGGTGTCCTCGTGGTCTCCCCATGGTCTTGGTTGTTTCTTGGCAGTCTCTTGGCGGTCGGTCGTCTGGTCCTAGTCGTCGTGGTCGTCCTGGTGGTTGTGATGGTCCTGATCTTCATAGTGTCCTTTCTGCTGCGCGAGGTCTGAAGGCCACGTGTGTGTGCCTTGGGCCCCCGGACCCACTAACGGTTTCTCCTGCATCTGGGCAATATATCTCACCTCTTCCCAAGACGTCCTTCTGTTTTACACCCGCCGCGACGCCCTTGATCAGAAACCTCGTCCCTCCTAGTCGTGTCATGTTACCTCCTATATGACAGGAAACGGATGGTCATCTTTCTCCTGAAGCGTGTCCACTAAACCAAACTAGTTCAACCACTCATGTTTAGATTCAATGTTGCCAAGTTTCATGCATGCATTCCGGAATCACTGTTTAAATTAAAGTTTCATCTTAGGTAAATCTCCCGAAGTAAATCAAGTCTACACCGCGCATGTTGCGAAATCAACCAACCTAGCGCATGGCAAAAGTCCTCAAGAATGGCCCCTCACCACTGTCTTGTCTGCCTCCACTGAGAGCGGGCACTGCCGCGGATACAACCGGCGCCGCAGCTGCAGGGGCCTCAGGATAACCATCAAAATCGCAGTGCTCCTTCACAGGAAGACAATGATGAATTGCGCGCCGAGGTTCAGCGTGCCAGTTTACGAAAGCGCGACAGGCGAAGATTGAAACAAGTACAAAATCCAAAAGAACTGCTGCAAAGCTTGACTCCTGACACGGGGTGTGAGCATGTCCCACTCCCGCTCGAATCACTGTATGGCAGGCTGAATCATACTGAAGTCTACACTGATGTTTCACGTCCGAGCTACCTCGAGCTGCGCCAGCCTGGACCGCAGATGGGGCACCTGCGCAGCGGAGGCCGTGAAAATGATATGATATGGGCGGCAAGCGCTCCCGTCAGATTCCCGTCGGCCTCCGAAGCTTCCGACCGAAGCCGGTCCAACTGCTGCTGAAGCTCGGCCATGCCCGCAGCATCTTGCAACGCAGCTGCCCGCTGTGCCTTGACACCACAGGGACGCTGGCTCTCGCGCCTGTCACAAGTGTGCACGGCTCGGAGATCGTGCCTCCGCCTCGGCGATCTGCACCTTCAATGCAGGCACCTCAGGCAAAGACTCTACCTTGATTTACCATGCGGCTGAACTACTCAGCCAAGAACGGTTCGCATAGACGGAATAGGTGGAAGATTGCTTGAGGTGGGCTCTCACGAATAAAAAAACAACACCTCTTGTGAATGGACGGCGACATGATACAGTATACCTACTGCCCACCCGTCTCCGGATAGTGCAAGCTTTTCAACTCCACCACCATCCATTTTCGACCTCTCAAACCGCGCTGTGCACTCGACACAAACTCACGACCTGTGCAAAGCATCTGTGTTCGTCCGGGATCTGGCCCTAGCGAAAACCAGTGGGCGCACGAAACCGAGACCATCTCGGTCGCCTGTCGCCAGCGGCTACAGCTACCAACGATCGAGCAGATGCCGTTCTCGAGTGCAACACCTCTTTCTCGAGCCCCGACAAGCTGACGTGGCCGCTGAAATGCGGTTCCGGTCCCGAGCATGCCCTCCGAGTCTGACCCCACGCAGCTTTTTGTGCGACGAAGTCAGTGTGTTTGTGCGGAAAAATGCACCATGTGTTCGTCTTCAACCCTCGGCCGTGCTGATAGCTCAGTTCCACAGGTCAAATATTGCTGTCCTAAAGCTCTGAGGTCGGGACCTCCACTGCTTCAGCCGTGAGTCTCTCGACTTCCAGCTGCAGTTTCTCGGCGGCTGCTTGCAATTCCGGCACCTGAACAGGCTTTCGGGTTCC